TGATTTACCCAACCACAGGAAATATTTGCTTCAGCCATTTCTGTTCAATTATGCTTTTGTATAAAAGGCAGAGGCAACCACAAAAACTTCACAGCATTACCAACGAGAGTTGTATTAAGTACAGGGAATCCCCAATTTACGAATGTCCAACTTATAAACGTAATCCCATACAGGGATGTAATTTTAAATATCCAAAATCCAAACATTTCTTGTACTTATGAAGGGCTGTATTATACTGTCCTGGATTGTGTTCCAACTTGCATTCAAATAGTCTTGCAAATAGACTCAGAAACAGAACCCGTTTGCAATCCAGGGACTGCCTGTATTATAATGCATCTATTTTCCCAATACAATATTCATCACTGTTCATCCATGTAAACCTACAGCAAATGGACGGCATATGTTCAAGGAGGCAACTCAACCACCACCTCAAGGGCAGCTGCAGACAGGTCGTAAATGCTGGCCTAACCAACGATTCCTACATCCCATGAATGAAAAATTTTTTAAAATGTCAGACACAGAATCATGTCATTTCACCACAGAGGGAGGCTAATCAGCCCATCATGTCTGTGCAGGTTTTCTGATTCATCAAGTGTCACTCCTCCCAACCTCGCCCCATAGCACCTCAAACTGAACCTGCCTCCAGCACAAACAGGCAATACATTCCAAATCTCACCCACTTGTTGCACTTCATCATACTGCCATTGCTTATGTTGCCAATTACCTTAAAAGCGCACCCTCTTGTTCCCAATCTTTCTACCAAGGGAAACAGTTTTTCCCTTACCTACAGTCTCCACACTCCTCATGATGTATTAAAATAATTTCTTTAGGATCTACTCAACCTTTCCACACGATACGGAGTTTGAATTTGTTTCATGTTTCAACCATAGAGTCAGAGCTGTACAGCATGTAAACAGACCCTTCGGGCCAACTCATCCACGCTGACCAGATATCCTACACAAATCTCATTTGCCAGCATTTGGCCCATATCCCTCTAAACCCTTCCTATTCATATACACATCCAGATGACTTTTTAAATGTTGTAATCGTACCAGGGTCCACCACTTCCTCTGGTTGCTCATTCCATATACACACCACCCTCTGCGTGAAAATGTTGCTCATTAGGTCCCTTTTATATCTTTCCCCCTCACCTTAAACCTATGCCCTCTAGTTTTGGACTCCCCCATCTTGGGGAAAGACCTTGACAATTCATCCTATCCATGCCCCTCATGATTTTATAAAACTCTATAAGATCATCCCTCAGCCTCCCACGCTCCAGGGTAAATAGCCCCAGCCTATTCAGCCTCTCTCTATAGCTCAAACCCTCCAACCCTGGCAACATCCTCGTAAATCTTTTCTGAACCCTTTCAAGTTTTACAACATCCTTCCTATAGCAAGGAGACCAGAATTGCTCACAATACTTCAAAAGTGGCCGGACCAATGTCCTGTACAGCAGCAATATGACCTCCCAACTCCGATACTCAATGCTTTAACCAATAAAGGTAAGCATACCAAACACCTTCTTCACTATCCTATCTACCTGCGATTCCACTTTCAAGTAACTATGAACCTACACTCCAAGGTCTCTGTTCAGAAACACTCCCCAGGACCTTAGTGTTAAGGGTATCCAAAATACAGCACCTATCACTCCTCGGCCCATTGGCCCAAATGATCAAGATCCCATTGTACTCTAAGATAACCTTCTTTGCTGTTCACTACCCCTCTAATTTTAGTGTCATCTGCAAACTTACTAACCATTCCTCCTATGTTCACATCCAAAAAAATGACAAAAAGCAGTGGACCCAGCACTGATCCTTGTGGCACACCGCTGGACACAGGCTTCCAGTCTGAAAAGCAACCCTCTAGCACCTCTCTCAGTCTTCTGCCTTTGAGCCAGTTCTGTATCCACATAGTAAGTTCACCCTGTATTCCATGTGATCTAACCTTGCTAACATGTCTACCATGAGGAACCTTGTCGAACGCCTTATTGAAGTCCATTAAGATCACATCCACCGCTCTGCCCTCATCAATCCTCTTTGTTACTTCTTCAAAAAAACTCAATAAAGTTAGTGAGACACAATTTCTCAAAGTCATGTTGACTATCCCTAATCTGTCCTTGCCTTTACAAGTACACAAATTCTCCCCCTCAGGATTCCCAGCAACAACTTGCCTACCACTGACATCAGGTCAATGCACATAAAGTAGCTAAAAAAGTAACTTATCTTGCCTCTTTTTGATATCAAAAGGTAATAAGTCCAATGAGGCCAAAGCCAATCTCAACTAGCACAATATTGGGGCGTACCATGCTTGGCACAGTCTGCCATTGTTTCAGGGGCAAACAAGAGGGTATTCATTCAGCCAAGGTTTCACTGGTGACCTTCAATTACAACAGAAAACACAATAACTTGCATTAAAAGTAATGCCTTTAAGACAGCAAAATGTCCCACAGCATTTCTCAGGAGTGACTGTTACACCAATTTTGAAATTAAGCTACGAAAGGAGTTTTCTAACAAATAACTAAGGGCCTTGTCAAAGGAATGTTTTAAACAAGCATCTTAAAGGAGAGACAGAGGTCGAGACCTCTTGGAGTGCAGGTTCATAGTTCCTTGAAAGTGGAGTTGCAGGTAGACAGGATAGTGAAGAAGGCGTTTGGTATGTTTGCCTTTATTGGTTAGTGCATTGAGCAAAGGAGTTGGAAGGTCACGTTGCGGCTGTACAGAACACTGGCTAGGCCGCTTTTGGAATACCGCATGCAATTCTGGTCTCCCTGTTATAGGAAGGCTGTTGTGAAACTAGAAAGGGTTCAGAAAAGATTTACAAGGAAGTTGCCAGTGTGGAGGGTTTCAGCTATAGGGAGAGACTGAATAAGCTGGGGCTATTTTCCCTGGAGCATCAGAGGCTGAGGGGTGACCTTATAGAGGTTTATAAAATCATGAGGGGCACGGATAGGATGAATAGCCAACGTCTTTGCTCTGAGGTGGGGGTGAAGACCAAAACTAGAGGGCATAGGTTGAAGGTGAGAGAGGAAAGATTTAAAAGGGACCTAAGGGGCAACTTTTTCACGCAGAGGGTGATGTGTGTATGGAATGAACTGCCAGCGGAAGTGGTGGAGACTGGTGCAATTACAACATTTAAAAGGCATCTGGATGGGTACATGAATAGGAAGGTTTTAGAGGGATATGGGCCAAATGTTGGCAAATGGGACTAGATTTATATAGAGGATATCTGGTCAGCGTGGACGAGTTGGCCCGAAGGGTCTGTTTACATGCTGTACAGGTCTATGACTAGTTCTGCGTTATTAATATTGCCATGAGCAAAACGGCAAGATATAGAAAAATGTGAAGTGATCCACTGTTATAGGTAAGATGGTGAAGGAGCACATTACTTTAAATTTAGAGAGACTATAGAATGTACTGCAGCACAGAGTGATCCAAATATCTTTGTACATGAAACACAAAATGCTAGTATGTAGATACAGCAAGTATTTTATTTTATTCATTCATGGGATGAGGACATCACTGGCTAGGCCAGTATTTATTACCCACTCCTAACTGGCCAGAGGACAGTTAAGCGTCAACCACATTGCTGTGGGTCATGGGTCACATGTAGGCCAGACCCTTCTGATCAAGATCCCGTTGTAATCTGTGGTAACCCTCTTCACTGTCCACTACACACTGACTTTTTCTTTTAAAAAAGCCTTCAATCACATAGCAAGTTCCACCGTTGGTGAAAACAGCAAGATGAAGACAAAAATTCACAATAGCCTCTACACGGGCAACATGGGGAATCAGTGAAGGAAAACACAGAGTTAATGTTTCGGATCTGGTGACCCTTCCTCAGGGTCACCAGACCCGAAACGTTAACTCGTTTTCCTTCACAGATGCTGCCAGACCAGCTGAGCTTTTCCAGCAGCTTTGTTTTTGTTCCCGATTTACAGCATCCACAGTTCTTTCGGTTTTTATGGTGAATCAGTGGTTAGCACTGCTGTCTCACAGCACTAAGGACCTGGATTTAATTCCAGCTTTGGGTGACTGTCTGTGTGGAGCTTGTATATTCTCCCCGTGTCTGCCGGTGCTCCAGTTTCCTCCCACTATCCAAAGATGCGCAGGCTAGATGAATTAGCTATGATAATAAGAGAAATAAGTTAGGGGGCTGGGTTTGGGTGGGATACTCTTCAGAGGGTCAGTGCAGACTTGATAGGCTGAATGGCCTGTTTCCATACTGCTATGATTCTATGTGAGCAGCAACACAGAACCTTAAGCAATCTGTGTTATTTACGTTTCTGGTCATCTGTCCTTCCACATGAACAACTTCTGGACTACAGTGCTAGCTGTGGCTCAGTTGGTAGCACTCAACTCCAAACTATAAAATGCTGGGTCAAAGTCCCAATTCAGGGGTTCAGCACATTAAGAAACCAAGGCTGACACTCTATTGCAGTACTGAGGAGGCAGGCAATTGCCAGAAATGACATGTTTCAGATAATCCTAAGTCCCATCTGCTTGTTCAGGCAAATATAAAAGATTCTTTGCGCTATTTCAAAGAAGTGCAAATGAGTTATCCTTGGTAATAAAAGTAAACCATTGCTCATGCTGATGATTTGAACTAAAAACAGAAAAGTGCCACAGAAACTCAGGTCTAGTAGCATCTGTGGAGGGAGAAACAGAGCTAATGTTTCTAATCCAATGTCTTCAGAACTCAAGTGATCCCTGGTGTCCTGGATAATATATATCCCTCAATCAACATCATACAAAATAACTATCTAGGTCGTTAGCCACAATTATCATTTATAAAAACGTTGGCGAGACATAGATGTTAGAGTGAGATGTCTCGATCAAGTACAGCAGAAGCTTTAATTAGCAGCAGCGGTAACTTGATATCAAGAACATAGGCAAGGCGTGTAAAATTCGAGTGAATCCCCTCCCAACAACAGCCAGCACCGCCACCGTCCTCCACCCTCCCAACAACAGCCAGCCACCACCATCCTAAACACACACACACACCTTGCCTGTAGTACATGTCATTGACTGTAGCCCCATAAAACTTCCAGGCCATGTGGATTGCCACCAAGCTGCCAAGCAGCCAGCCCAGTAGGATTTTGAAGATGGTAACCCTCATGTCGTTGCTGCTCCAGTCCTGGGCGAACTCGCTGCAGAAGGAGAGGAGACGCTCCAACAGGAACGAGAAAAGCCCGAGATCCCAAGACGGCGCCTCCATCGCCGCTCCGGGAGCTGCATCACTCGGGAGTGGAACCTTCCCTCGCCCCTACCTCTCCGCCTGTCACTGACTGGGACGCCACCGTTACAGGAAGCACCGAGGGAGACCGGGACAAGGGGGATGATCGGGAAGGGGGTGGGGGTGGAAACCAACCGACACCGCCTCTCCCAGCAACCGCACTTTCGACACCTCCGCCCCTCCCCTACAAAACCTAACTTTCACAACAAGCTCACCACCTCTAACGTATCTTATTTAATCTTTGGCGGGAGCATTAAAATTCCTGCCTTAACACGCATCCATCTCCTTTCAAATCTCGAATCGAACGGTCATCGCCAGCAGCGAATCTGTCAATCTTAATAGAAGGCAAGCGGCTCTAAATACAGTATCCGAGAGCAGACAAACTACAGTTACCTGGCAACGGGAACGCGTTTCGTTTTATTTGTCATATTGGAATGCAAGTCAGCAAGCCAACAAAAAAAAATCATGTGATAACACGGTGTAGAGCTGGATGAACACAGCCGGCCAAGCAGCATCAGAGGAGCAGGAAGGCTGACGTTTCGGGCCTAGACCCTTCTTCAGAAAACATGTTTTCGACAGCGAGTTTGTTGTGAATTTCTCATGTCAGATGCTATTTTTTTCAAATAAACAATTAAAGGGAAAAATTCTCAATTAATTGAATTTTGTTTAAGAACAAACGTGACATGACCACTTAAAGGCAGTTAACTTCTTGAGATCCAAGCCTTCTTGGTTTTAGAATCGTTAAATACAGTAGCAATGACCCATTCATAAATATTAATGCAGAAAACGAGCAAACTCTGACCAAATACATTCAGGGAATTACCAATGGAAGCGTGAATATTTGATCACATATAATGATGGGACTATGTTATAGGGATATAAATGTTGGATCCTCTACAGTCAAGTATTTTTACTTGTTCTTTCAAATTGGTTGCCCAGGTGTGAGAGGTTTCAAGAATACCAAAAGAACCATGCACAAGGGGGAAGGAAACTGCATGGCAGAGATGGAGATGCCACTCCACCCAAAAGAGGTATGGTAATAATCTTTATAGTTTAAATGTCCTGTCACTATACTGCTTTCCCTTTTCTCACGGTGTTGTTAAACACCCCGACTGCCCATCCACTCTCAGAATTGATTGCATGATTATATCTGGCTGCTGTGGCCTCAACAGTTGTAAGTGCTTAGTGGTTGGAGATATGAGTGGGAAACTGGGAGTCAGATGGGATGACGTAGAAATAGAGATTAAGGAATGAGTTTGGGGAGCCAGGGAGCACGGGGGATAAATGAGAATATGCGAATCAGTACAATAGGGCACCCGGGTCAGGGAAAAAGAGAAGGTTTGATTTGAAAAGGAAAACGAAGCTTGGGTTAGTTGGAGATTGAGGAATGAATGTTAGAGCTAATGGGAAACTAGAGATCAGGTTGCAAAGAAAGATGGAAACAGAGGAATGGGAGAATGGACAACAGCTTTTGTTTTATTATTCATCTGTGGGATGTGGGTGTCGCTGGCTGGCCAGCATTTCTTGCCCGTCCCTAGTTGCCCTTGAAAAGGTGGTAGTGAGCTGCGTTTTTGAACTGCTACAGTCCATGTGCTGCAGATTGACTCACAATCCCATTAGGGAAGGAATTCCAGGATTTTGACCCAGTGACAGTGAAGGAACAGCAATATATTTCCAAGTCAGGATGGTCAGTGGCTTACACAGGAACTTGCAGGTGCCGATATTCCCATGTGTTGGAGCATTAGCAGAAGTAACCTGATTAATGAGGGCAATATTTCAGAGAAGTAGCCAGTAAAGAGATAGCAAAAACCTGGGGACCTTGCTGTGGATAAACAGCAAAATATAGTTTCCACTATGGTTTGTGGTTTGGTTTCACTTTTGGATGTAGCTTTGGTTAATTGGTGGCTTATATTAGTAAGGTCCTTGTACCTAAGAGTGACTATAGGCTGATTCTGGTGAGTTTCTGGAAAACTCTTTTTATTTGCACTATTTTACATAGTTTATTTTTAACTACTAGATCTCTCTTTGGACAGACTGCCCCTTCTCTTTTTTTTAGTCTAATGTGATTATTGATGTCACCATTACATTATCCTACATATTACTATCTCATATAACTCATAATGTTAATAAAGGAGAGCTGGTGAATTTGGTTCACGGACTTTCAGAAGGTGTTCGATAAAGTCCCATGTAAGATATTAGCATGTAAAATTAAAACACAAGGGATTGAGGTTAGTGTACTAGCGTAGATAGAGAACTAACTAGTAGACAGGAAGCAAAGAGTAGGAATAAACAGGTCATTTTCTGAGTGGCAGCCAATGAGCAGTGGGAATCAGTGCTTGGAAACCAGCTATTCACAATATATATTCATATTTAAGTGCAGGAACTAAATGTAATATCTCCAAATATGCAGATGAGACAAAGTTGGATGGGACTGTGAACTATGAGGAAGCAGAGATGCTTCAGTGTGATTTGGGCAAATTGAGCGAGTGAGCAAATATATAGCAGATGAGAGATAATGTGGATAAATGTGAGGCTATCCACTTTGGTAGAAAAAACAGGAAGGTGGGTTGTTATGTGAATGATGATATATTGGGAAAGGTGAAAGCACAGCAAGACCTGGGTGTCCTTGTATACTAGTTGCCAAAAGTAAGCATGCAGGTGGAGCAGGCGGTGAAGAAGGCAAATGGTGTGTTGACCTTCATAGCGAGAGGACTTGAGTACAGGAGCAAGAATGTCTTGCTGCAGTTGTACAGGGCCTTGATGAGAACACATCTGGAGTATTGTAGATAACAAGGTGTAGAGCTGGATGAACACAGCAGGCCAAGCAGCGGCCTCCTTGACCTGTCCGTCCGCTCTGGACTGACCTATCCCCTCCCTAACTCCCCACCTACACTCACCTTTACTTTACTTGCCCGCCTCTTTGACCTGTCTGTCTCCTCTCCACCTATCTTCTCCTTTATCTATCTTCTATCCGCCTCCCCATCTCTCCCTATTTATTTCAGAATCGCCTTCTCCTCCCCCATTTCTGAAGAAGGGTCTAGGCCCAAAACGTCAGCTTTCCTGCTCCTCTGATGCTGCTTGGCCTGCTGTGTTCATCCAGCTCTACACCTTGTTATTCTCAGATTCTCCAGCATCGGCAGTTCCCACTATCTCTGGAGTATTGTATGCAGTTTTGATCTCCTTATTTGAGGAAGGATGTTACGGTTATGGAGGGAGTGCAACAAAGGTTTACCAACCTGCTTCTGAGATGGCAGGACTGACGCATGAAGAGAGACTGAACCAGTTAGAGCTAAACCCACTGGAGTTTAGGAGAATGATGTGGGATCTCACAGAAACCTATAAAATTCTAAAAGGATGAGACAGGGTAAACGCAGGAAGGATGTTCTCAATAACCAGGTGTCCAGGACCAGGGTAAAGATACTGCGTAGGCCATTTAGGACTGAGATGAGGAAACATTTTTTCACCCAGATATTGGTGAGCCTGTGGAATTCCCTGGCATGGAAAGCATTGAGGCCAAAACCTTGAATGTTTTCAAGAAGTAGATATAATGTTTAGTGCTAAAAGGATCAAAGGAATTGGGGTGAAAGATGATCAGTCGTGACCATATTGAATGGGCGAGCAAGCTCAAAGCACCAAACAGCCTGCTCCTGTTCCTATTTTCTATGTTTCTATTCCCCACCTACCCTCCCACCAAAGTATAATCTCAAATTTATAACAATGTAACTGAACCATTTGTTCAAATATTACCTTGAATTATTCATATTCCCATCAATTCACCCTCTCCATAAGTCCAAATTTCAGAGGTCAAGCCTTTGCAGTGCTTGTACTGCTTTCCCTGATCTTGTTCTTATCAATGTTAACTGAAAGTGATGGTCTACAGTAATTTCACTAATTGGATCATCATTTTATGAGGCGATTGATGTAATCTTCCTGTCATCTTCCCAGAGCTTGTGATATTCAAACTAACTAATTCTTGCAGCTTTTAGTAATGTTAAAGCCTTTCAATTTATTCTGAACATTCCAAACAGAGTTTGAATGAGATAGGATCATGGATGTTAAGTTTGCCTAAGGGGTATACCTCTGGATTTTCAATCTCTGATTTCTACTTTGGGAACAAATGAAAATGTAGATAAAGTTTTTACTCAATGCCTGAAATTGTAGCAGCTCCTCTGTTTTTCTTGTTGATTTTTTTCCAATGTTTCTGGTTCATTCACAGTCATCCACTATAATAATCAATCTTAGGTTCTGCTTCAATAATGATATTTGTGTTCTCTACCTTCAGCCCATCAGCAACCCTGCTAATGTGATTCTGTTGCTTAAGGATGTGGCTCTACAATTCAGAAGGGCTAAATCCCAATCACCATTCTTAGATTTTTGATCCTTTTTCTATCCCACCATTGACTTGTGGGTGAAGAGAACTGCTGATGATTGATTTGTGACTCCTGCAAATTTTAAAAAATATTCATTTATGAACTGTGGACCATTCTCTGAGACAATTTCACCTAGAAGATAATAGGTTGAAAAGATATTCTTCATTATTACTTTTATTATTAATGCTTAAGGTGCAGTGAGTGAGCTTCAAACCACCCCTATATTCAATCCATCTTTACATTTACCATGGTATGTGTGGAAAAGTAGATGGTTCTGTTGGAATTTAGCAATTTGTTCCACTAACATGACAGATCAATATTCTTGGCCACCACGCAGAGTTCTACGTGAGCTCTAGACTTCACTATCTCTAAGTGACCATTACAGATTGTGTCAAGAATTTTCTCCCTCATGGCTTTAGGTATTACAATTAATAATTGAAGAGTCGAAGTTTGTCCACTGTTATTAGATGTTTCCTCTGGTATTTTCTTAACAACTGATTGGATACTATTTTGGCCAGCGTTCTCAGCTAAATTTCTAAGTCTGCATACAGTCCATGTCCTCCTTTTGTGTTTTCCTAATTTCTTGTAGCTTTTTATCAGAAGTTGGCATCAATTTACGTTAGGACCAGTGAAAATGCTTCCACTTCTGAAATAAGTGTTCAGTCTGGTGTTTCTGACCATGACCATGCTCTTGATAATAGGACTGCTGTGATCTAACTTCTGCTTGGTATAGACACAGTTGTATAATGATAACACATCAGTCTGAGTCTGAAATATTGTACATGCAGAGGCATTTTGACTGTATCTTTGAAATTCAGCAGTATGATCAAGGGATTATGGTTTGTCTCAATGTGAAATTGCAATCCTGTCAAATAGAGAATCTTTT